CCTCAACCACTGCCCTGGGCAGCCCATTCCAAGGCTTCATAACCCTTTCAGTGTAAAAATTTTTCCTAATATCCAACCTGAACCTTCCCGGGTGTAACTTGAGGACATTTCCTCTTGTTCTATCGCCTGTGGCGTGGGAGAAGAGACTGACCCCCCCCTCTCTACACCCTCCTTTCAGGGAATTGTGTAGGGTCTTGTTTAATCTTCTAGAAATACAGGACAAGCATTATCTCCTAGGAGCTACTTCAAAATGTTTTAATGCATTTATTTGGGGGTTGGGTAGAACCAGCAAGTTCCAGGCAGAGCTCAGAGGATCAGACTGCTCACATCAGTGGTACAGTCTCATCATTTGCTCCAGTTTGCTTCAGGACCAAAAGAAGACAGTTTTAGTCCAACGTAGTATCTTGTTTAATCTTCTAGAAATACAGGACAAGCATTATCTCCTAGGAGCTACTTCAAAATGTTTTAATGCATTTATTTGGGGGTTGGGTAGAACCAGCAAGTTCCAGGCAGAGCTCAGAGGATCAGACCACTCACACCAGTGGCACAGTCTCATCATTTGCTCCAGGACCAAAAGAAGACAGTTTTAGTCCAACACGAAACTAACTTTGAAGAGTCCTGCCTCTGCATTGCCCTGGGGATGCTTACAAACTGAAATTCAAGCTGCTGATGCTTTGGTGGTATTTCCAAGCCATGCGTCCATCCATGGATTTTGAGGACAGTTACCAGAGTCAGTACTTGTCTACATTTTGGGTATGGCTGTTAACCTTGCCTCCAGCTGCACATCCAGAGGCTTCGGTTCAGACAACGTTCTCCAGCAACACATGAGCACCAAGAGAAAAAAAGAGTCAGAGGTTATTCAGCATCAGGTCTCAGCTTCCCAGTATTAAGACCAAGGGAGATTTGCTAAATCCCTTCTCCACAACACCACCAAGGAGCCACAGAGTTCTTCCCACAGACAATGCTGATGCTGTGCTTTCCCCAGAGAGGACTTCTCCTGTATAAAGACATGCTACTTCTCAAGATCTCAGCGTTAATGGGCTACTAACATCAGGGTCAAGAGGCACATCCTGAACAAGACACAAATTCTACCCCAGACTGCCATGAACCCTTCAGACTGGAGTTAGTAGGAGGCACAGCCCAGCTACACGCATCGAGCTCCTCAAAGCCCTCTGCCCCAGCAGAGCCCACCACTGGCCGTCCTGTTGCCACAAGAACCATACAAGGGGCGATACAACACACGTGTCTCCAACACCCACCAGAAGAAGAGAGAAAATGGCTTCTGCAAAGCAGCTCACAAAGCTGTCCTCAAACCAGCTATCTGCTTTTCCGCTTTGAAAAAAATCTCACTTTTTTCCATCAATCTGGTTGAATACTGATTATATTCCCGACTTCAAAATGAGAGAGGAAGCCGCTATCCCTCTGGAAATGTCCCAATTGGTTTAGGAGGAAGGGAACACGCAAAACATTTATTGATAGATAGCCAAGACCAGTCAGCTTTTGTCACCTCCTCTGGTAGCAACATACACACACAAACAGATTTTGTGTGTTTGATGGAAATAATTGAAGATGGGGAACACTCTTATCAAGTCAATTGAAAAACTAAAGTAATTTTATTTTCCAGAGTCAAGGCAAAGAATGAGAACAAATTCTCCATTAACAAAAGGTCTGGGACATTTCTGATAAATAGCCCCAGCAGGAGGTAGACATTTACAGTGAACCAGGAGAGGATCAACTGATATATTAAAAAATGCACTTTAAAAAAAAATAATATTAAATTCCCTGTGTCACTAATCTCCTCTCAAAAGCTGAATTTGTGAGCACCAAGTAGTGAAACCTGTTAAGTAGCTAATCAGCAAAAAAAAGTTCAGGCAGCAGTAATATTTGACAAGAAGCAGGCTGGTCAGTGTGTCCCGGACACAAGTCATTCACTGGAAAGGACAGTGGGATCCAAGTTTCCAGCATGTGCTTTCCCACAATACGCTGATTATCAAAAATATGGCACGTAAGCCAGAAAAATGATCTTGACACGCGATTTCTATGGAAGCTGTGGAAAAAGCCTGGAGCAACACACAGGGGATGGAAAAATCTGTTGCTACACTAACAACGGGAGCAAGAGAGGTTTTGGTGGTTTGGTTTTTTTCTGTTTTTTTTTTTTTTAAGACTACGGAATTGTGTCTTTCAATAAAGAGAACTCACATGCAGTAACTGACAGGTTAATATTAAATCCACTCCACTACTACGGTCAATTGGTTTTCCCTGGTTACCTGTTTACAGCTAATAAAGCAGCATGCAAGTTTTGTAGTGTTTCTTTCCTTGCAGTAAATCCACCTCCCAAAAGACATACTAAGCAACTGAAAAAGTTTATAGAGGGAAAAAAACAAAAAAAAAAACAACAAAAAAATCTATGCTTACAAAATTATATTCACTACTCAGGCTCCTCGAAGCACCAGCAAGAGAAAAGAGTGTGGGAAGGGAGGGTCACACTTTCAGGGACATACACTGTTTCAGCAGAACAAACATCATCAGCTTATTCTGGGTGTAAAATACAGTTAAAAGTGTCTGGAAGTTCATTAGCACTGTTGGGAGGACAAGTGTACGAAAACCACTACACAAAATGGCACACATACAGACCATTCGACGCATCCGAGGGACTGCTGGAGCCTAGGCTGGATGAGGTGGAACATGACATGCAAGTCACTCTTTCATAACAAAAAGCGATGTGAACCAGACGTTTAGGATTTGGGGGAGAGAGATGGTGGCCACTTGTCACTCTTTGCCCAGATTCGAGCATCTTTGCTGCCCTGAAAAGCGAATGACACTTCAACTGCTATTATTCCACACTAGCACAGCTATTACACCACACTACCAGCAGCTGCTTTGCATCTCAAGTTTTCAGTAAGCAGGAAAAATACACTTATTTCCAGACTCTCAACACCCTGCCCTGAGTTGTATATACTGCCGAACTAACTGCAAAGTGCCTCACCCGAAGAGCATAGACAAAAGACGTGACACAGCGTGACACGGTCTTAGTGGAGAAGCCTGCAAAATACACCTCCTTTTCCAAATCCCCCCAGATACTCACTGAAAAAACGTAACCAAAATCCAGACTTTCACCACAGAGCTTCACAAAGTGAAGACAGATGGCAGCGAAAGGCAGGGAACACCAACGCTCCTCTGGGGACACAGCAGCAGGATGGTTTGGTGATGGACTTCAGCTCCTCTTAACCTGTCACCAAGCAACTGCTGGACCCTGTTCTGAGCTCAATTTATTTTCTTTAACAAATGAACGGCGGCAAACACCTTCACCAAGCAATTCCTAACACCTGTCCTTGGCTGAGACGCCCACGAGGAGATGGCAGTAGGGTGTGGGAACATGAAACTGTCCCAAATGAAGGCAACAAGCCTTCATCCACTTCTCTGTAGCCAGAGAAACCAAAATATCCATTCCACTATTCAAATAAATAAATAAATGGAGTGCTGAGCAGTTACTTCATGTCAAAGCCAAGGCAGCAGGCAGTGCCTGTCTTCTGGCTGGTTTTGGGGCTGAGGTGCAGTCTCCACAAGCTTCCCAGAGCGTACAAAAAGCAACTCCCTCACGATAAAGCACCTACCACGGGGCTATAACAGGGTTTACGTCTTGTTGAGACTTCAGCAGGAGGGAGTAGGTGAACACAGGCAGTTAATGATTTTCTTTGATTTTCATCTGGTGGCATGTCCAGTCTTTACACATTCATTTCATCTATCTGCTGCAGCTCTCCTGTTTATTCCATCTGGTGGCATGTTAGGAAAGGTCCAAATCCAGGCTTTACACATTCATCTCATCTATCTGCTGCAGCTCTCCTGTTTATATCTGGAGCAGATGCTAAAAAAAACCCAAACCAAAAAAAACCCAAACGACAAAAAAAACCCCAAAACCAAACCTCATCATCCAAATGAAAAACCGTCATCACAGAGCTCAGGTCTCGCTGCTGCCTTTGGATTTGGTCTGTCTTTTTTAGGAACTCATTTTCATCTCAAATGGGTCTGCTGAGGTTTACTTGGACTCTGGGTACAGTTTCCTACATTTTCAAACTTCTGTTGTGCCAATCCCAGTAAGTACTTTAAAAAGAAAATTCTACCCAAGGTTGGAGCCGATCGTACAAAAACCTCATTTTCTTTCTGGTTTTATTTTAACAGCAGCTTGCCAAGAACAACAGGCAAAGCTCAGCCTTGGGAAGAATGAAATGGAGCTACCCCTGAGCTAACCTAACACCTATCAACCTGCAGCAGCTCCTGCAAAGAAACCAGCCTCGAAGCTTATGAGGAACCTTTGGGATTAGAAGAAATCACAAAAATTAATGCATTTTGCCAAGACAGATTCGAATATTTGGAGACGGCTTGCCATACCTACTTGCCCAATACCAAAACCAAAGCAGTGTCTTTTTTTTATAAGCTTCAACCCAAAATTTTTAAAGTTAAATTACAAATACTATCAAAGATTGCAGTTACCGATTTTAACACAGGAGTTATTATGACTTCCCTGATCTCCTCCTTTCCCATCTTCTCCCAGAAACACACATACAACCAACGCTTGCTGGAAGAAATGTTCAGCAGAAGAAGGGACGTGGTCAGCCACACGTGAAGTGTCAGGTCCTTCCTTTTGTTGAAGTCTGGGATCATTGCATTAGCTCACACTAGTTATGTCAAACCTTTGCTCTGCACTCACACTGCTCAAGTAGTCCCTGCACTTGACAAGTTAGTGGTCTTTGTGAGCTCCCGGCACATACAGAACCCAGAGACACCAAAATCCATCTTCACCAGCCTTTTGCAAAATTATTATTTACTGAATTCAACTCGGCAAATACTTACCTTTATAAACAAACCAGAACCCACAGATTTAATAAGACCTTGAAATCAGCATTGGACCACTGGAAGTGCAACACAGTAACAATGATAGTAAATTCAAGTATTAATTCATACATACTTTAATTGCTATTTTAATGATACAATAAATCTACTGAAGATTTTAAAGATATTTTTTTTATTATGGTTTTATATATTTATATAAAACCACCAAAGCACTTTAAAGAATCATGCTTTCTTGTGTAATACATAAAACTAGTTTCATACTGTGCTTCTGAAAGTCTATCGTGCTGTTTTTCAAGTTATTTTACAGATGGCACATTTAAAACAAAAACAAAACCAAAAAACCAACGGAAGCATGAATTTCTAGTGACTGCAATGCAACACAGCATCCAAACCAAGATGTTTCATTACAACTAAGTTAAAGTGTGAGTGCATTATGTAATAAACAATAGCAGTTTGGTCATTTTAATCTTAATTCTGTTTACAAGAAAACTAACATTTGTGCTTCATGACCTAAAGTCCCATGATATAAACATAAGGTCTCTGTTGTAAAAATCCCAACAAATTACTGTCCAAAAAGAAAAACATAGCTAAAACAGGAGAACAAGTTTAAATCTACTCACTTTCCTCAAGAATTGTAATATTTAAGACTATTATGACATACGAGACACAGTAAGGCACAATGGGTGGTACAAACGAATGAGTACAGTTGTCCATGAAACTTGTTCTCTTCCACAAATGCTAAAATATGTACCGCTCAAGATAAATTTTCTCTTAAAAATGAAATACATCATTTTGTTACGAAAGTCCTATACAAAAATTTAAAATTTACACCATCTGAGCTGCCAAAAAAATAAAAAAAGTGTATCAATTTTCCACAAAACTATATTTCTCACCAGCACATCCAGCCACTGGGAAAAAGATACCCCAGCACTCTGGAAAAGAAAAGCATTATTTCCCCCGTGTTTAAGACAAAAATATTGTATTTTGCATACAGTAGTGCATTATACTTAAAAAAGCCTAAACTACTAAAATTACAACATTGATTTGGAAATTATTGGTTCACTGCCTGGATGAAATAAGGCACTTTCTTCCAGCGGGCAGCACTTTTCACAGATATGGAGACGATGAATCAGGTTCTGGTTAAAAACAAAAAGGGGCTCAGTGAGGTCCCAGAAGACGACAGGAACATTTCAACAGCAGGGGAAGACACAGGAGGTAAAACCTGGAGATGAAACTCTACACAGAAGTGGTCACTCTGTCAATGGCATTATTGACCTCGTTTTTGTTTGAATCCAGTCCTTTAGCAGCATTCATATCATTCCGTAAATTCTCCACTGTCTTTTTCATGTTCTTTAATTCTCCAGGGTGTGGAGTGGCTCGCCTTAGAAGTGTTCTCTAAAAATAAACAGCGCAATAAGTGGTTTTGCCTTCGTCTCTTTGAAAAACAACATACACTTTCAAGGCTTTAGCATTCACATACCAAATATTAGCTATCGATTTTTTTTCTTTTCCCCCTTTTCCTTTTCTAACTACAATGCTCTAGGGTGAACATTATTTTCATAGCTGCTTGTTTATGAAGCCAGTGAAAGAGCTTTCGAGAACTGTCTAGGAGCAAATTTTTTCATCTCTTGACCTACTAATCTGAAAGCCACTCAACAATTACAAGTTATGAAGTGAAGATTCTTTCATAAATATAGTTGGGAATTATTTCTTTTTTCCCCCCCAAACCATTCAAGTGATTAAAGATCACATTTCAAACAAAAAAAAATATTCAGCTGGTTTTGAAAGAATCCCACAAGATCTCTTTACAGTGTCAAATACGTGTTTGTGTTGAGCTCTGTATGCCTTCCAGCCCCACCACACAGTTTGGTTCTCTTCTCAAATGAGAACAAATATTTTGAAAGAAAGAAGAGGGAGCATTTCTCTCCCATCTTAGACACAAGAACCTCTAACTTCATTGTGCCGAAACCTTTACAAGGAAAACAATATTTATAAAAACCCCAGTTAGCATCCAGATTAGAGACCAACAGAACACCAAGAATAACTGCACAAATATGTATCAGTATCATACATACATACATGCAATTACTTTTCACTGGTATACACGTAAGCTGTGCAGATTACAGTAGAGCCAATGAGCCATCAATTGGTCAAGACTGCAATTGGTGCATTGGTCAAGACTGCTTTGGAAACCTGCCCTTCCTCCTCCCCAGCAGGATCACAAACTTCTTTTCACCCAAAAAGGGTTCTTGCCTCAAGTCAGGCTGTAATAGCATGACTGAAAGCAGTTATCATTAACACCTGAGCCCTCATTATCGCATGGACATTCTCAGGCTGGCACAGTTTTTAAGAAGCATCCTTCTGAACCCCCTTATCAGTCAGAAATCAGAGAGATTTAGCTTCTGCTGCTTTGGATTAAGCAACCACCTTGCTTGGAAACCTAAATGTTCATATCTCTACTAACACAGAATTTTTATAGCCACTTTTTAAAGTAAGACCATGTTTCTAGTGTGCTGGATTGTATCCAGACAGTGCCCTGAAGTATCTCAAGCTGAGCTCTAACGAGAACCACCAGCAAGTTTTTAGAGCATCAGAGAAGCACGCTGAAAATCTGATTGAAGTAGTCTTAATCTTTACATAGAGTTTTAATTGTCAATGAAAGTTAGTGAAGCTAAAGATCACGTTGCATTTTGATCTTCAGGACATGCAGAGCCCAACTTAAAGGAGAGGTCTTATAAGTACAGTGACAGATGCTCCCACATCCTTTGTTTAAGTGGGGAACTAATGATCAACATTCGTGCTGCTTATGGACACTATGGTTGTCGCAGTGCGAGTGGTGGAGGGAATAAAAAGAAGTAGCAAAGAGAGGAGAAAGAAAGAGATTGGAAATAGAAATTAAGAGAGACAAACAATGGCGAACTTAGTGGAGACACATGCCAGAGTGCTGGAGTCTTAGATTAGACTTTATCTATTTTCAGGCAGTAAAGCTTCACAGATGCAGAAAAAGATTCTATCTTGTTTCTGGAAATAAAGCATCCTGAGCAGACAGAGGAAAACAAAGCAAAATAAAGACCGAACTGCATCAGAACATGAAAGTTATATTCAAAGTAGAAAAAAAGAAAAGAAAAAAAAGGCATTTTAAGTCAATATGAAAAGTTTCAGCCGTCAACACGAACTATTTCTGCTACAAACATATGCAAAGAAACATGCAGTCATAGCTTAGATACTTTTACACTTTTGTGTTAAGGTGACAGTGTCTGCAGGTAACCAGAGGCTCGGAAAACATACCATTTCATTATCGTCTTCATCTTTTTCATCTTCTAAGAAGCGAATTGCACTGACTCTATTCACTGCCCGCTCATTCCATGCTTCATCTGACATTTCATTTACCAAACTCTCCAGTGCACCACATCGTGGTAGGTTATCTGTTAGAACAGCGAAACGTAACTAAAGAGTCACAGCAAGTCTAAAACATCAACATGCTAAACTGTTAAAAACTGCAATATCCAACCAATCACTCATCTGAGATTCACAATTGTCTATTTCTTTTTTTTTTTGGATAGAAAACAAAACTTGTATTGATTTTCTGTTATCAAGAACACATAATAAATAGTTTCTGTACCAATGAGAAACTTCTGTACTTGGAGTATTTCAGGTTTGTGGCAGTTTTAGAGTACTGATTATATAATTTAGTATACTTGCCACTATGCATGCTTTTTGTCTGGACCATGGCTGCCATCTGACATTAGCCAGTTCCCTAAATGGCATTCCATAACACAGGATCATTACTTTTTCTGACCTCATCCATTTAGTATTGCCAGGCATAGACGTCCAACAAGCTTAATTCCAAGCCTTCTACCCTTGAAGCCATGAGATTAATTTGGAGAGGGGGAAATCTAATTTCTAGTAGTGAGGCTTTTAGAGAAAGTCAGTCTGCCTCAGCTACTCTTCTTGACCTAGCTTAATCTTCTCTAAATCTAAAGGGGTTAATTCGTTTACTTATTTTAATTCTTAATGCAATTTGCATTTTTAACATCCAGAAGCTGACACAAAACTGAGTCATTTCTACACTTCTACTGCTTTAATGCTTTCTATTTGCTCCAGCTGTAAAGTATTCAAAGAGTGGAATTAATCCAGGTAAGTTTGGGTACCTATGATACAGCTGAGCTTTTCTCCTCAGGCCCTCTTTGTACTTGCAGAAGAATCCACATGATTTCTTTTAAAAGTTTATTCTTGGATGGGATAAATTACTCTCCAGTGATGACAGCAAAAGTTTACATATTAGCTCAGATGAATCCCCTCAAATGTTCACACATCGCTATAAAAGTTTGAGGACAAAAGCTATCCAGAAGTTACTGGAAGAGCAACCCAGCCAACGCTGAAAAAGAGTTTATGGTTCCACCTGACCCAGAGGCAAGTTTCAGCACGAAAGGTAAGAGCAACTTATACTGGAATTCTACATTTGTTGAAGAACAGAATAAAGTTAATGCACAGCACCTTTGCCTGAAAGAAAATCAGCTTGCTAAAAAGTAAAATGTCTACTGCTTACTACTAACTACAAAAGCATTTTTCTGGTAAAGAGACTGTAGTTGGAAATCCACCACTTTTCACTATATATATATATGTGAAAGGTAAGAGCAACTTATACTGGAATTCTACATTTGTTGAAGAACAGAATAAAGTTAATGCACAGCACCTTTGCCTGAAAGAAAATCAGCTTGCTAAAAAGTAAAATGTCTACTGCTTACTACTAACTACAAAAGCATTTTTCTGGTAAAGAGACTGTAGTTGGAAATCCACCACTTTTCACTATATATATATATGTATATTTTTAAGATGTAAAATTAACATACACAAATATGGACACCACTCTTTGGCCCACTAGCAAGTCTCAGAATAATGAGAGAATTAAGTCGTCTTCTTCCAGGTCTATATTTTCTTTATTGTAGCTGATGTCATTGTATTTTCAGTAACACTCAGCCACGTTTTTCAAGTCTTCTGAAAACTAGTATCGCTACCCAAAAAAGCATAGAAGTTAAAATTCAACCAGAACTTTGCTGCTTTGCTCACTGGAACTTATGCATGCTTTACAAACCTTACCACAGTAAACAAAGACGAAGGATTTCTATATAAAATGAAAAACTAACTCTAGGCATTTACCTATGGACACCACTCTTTGGCCCACTAGCAAGTCTCAGAATAATGAGAGAATTAAGTCGTCTTCTTCCAGGTCTATATTTTCTTTATTGTAGCTGATGTCATTGTATTTTCAGTAACACTCAGCCACGTTTTTCAAGTCTTCTGAAAACTAGTATCGCTACCCAAAAAAGCATAGAAGTTAAAATTCAACCAGAACTTTGCTGCTTTGCTCACTGGAACTTATGCATGCTTTACAAACCTTACCACAGTAAACAAAGACGAAGGATTTCTATATAAAATGAAAAACTAACATCCGGCAGAAAACTTGGCAACCAGGCTCAGAAGGCATTTGAGGAAGTAATACACATGTTAAAATCTTTTCTCCTGTTTCAGGGTCTGTGTCAGTCTGAAAAGTCAGCAAAGGCTGGGACTGGTTGTCAGACAACCACAAAGCCTTCAGCTTTAAGGTAGTCAGCGAGAGGGGAAGATACGTCAACCTAGTTCAAAAAAGAGAAGTAAAAAAGTTAGGACAATCTCCAGGAGATTTAATAAATAGTCATGAATTCGACTCTTAAGTATATATCCCTGAGTTGGAATCAACAGGACAGAGATTAATGCCTCTAATAGAAAGCACTGCAGTAGTCATCAACTGCAACTACTCCATTCTTTTAAAAAGAATCTGCAGCTTAACTTTATACCATAATTCTCTGTAGTTGTGAATAACAGATAAAACAATGCTGAGCTTTTTCTACCACAGTAAAACACCGTGGAAGGCAGACAGCTGCTTCTGCTCTGGAGCCTGATACATACAATTGCCAGATCAGAAATATGTCAGTGCCCATCAGATAGTTGTATCACACACGAGATGCCATTTGCTTTTCTTTTGGGGTTGTTTTTTTTTTTTTTTTTTCCCCACTTAGCTTCCTACTAAGCAACTGAACTCATTTGCTGCTTTATGCTTCAATCCACTCCTTGCTGCATTTTGATGTCCGAAGCACATCAACTAAGATTCACGAGAAACCACAAGGTCAAAGTGGCATTATTTGCTGCTTGCACTGCATCTCTGAGTTGAGAAACTCAATATTAGTGTTACCTTACGTTAAGGCTGGTAGGTTCAGCAGAAGCTCTGCCAAATTGCCTAGATTCTCAGTTTTTAACGCAGAAATCCAGAGGGTTTGGTTTTTTTGTTTGTTTGTTTCTTGTTTGTTTGTTTTTTTTAAAAAAAAAGCCTACCTTTTCCTCAAAGCAATTCAGAAAACATACTCATGACAACACGCAATTGATGCTACTTTGGGCCAGGTGGGAAGACTACTTTGACAATTTCAACAGTAATGCTAACATAAAAGTGGCAATTGGTTCTTTGTTACTTCATTCTTAGATGTAGTAACTTTTGTTGGTAGAAA